CTGCAAATTTGTTGATTAAATATCTTCTTGACCTGATTTAAATCTGCTGAAGGAGGATTGATGTAGTAATTTGACTTCATGAAGTTAGAACCGAACAAACCGAACCGAACCGCATCGAACCGATGTGCAACGGTTCGGTTCGGTTTTGAATAATGGGTGGTTCGGTTCGGTTGTTTAAAATTTAGAAAAAACCGACCCGAACCGAACCGTGCTCAGCCCTACCTAGAGCCTTCTCCATTCTCTGATCAGAACAAACATCATCACCCCTATCTGGAAGTTCCTCTAAATCCATGTACTCGGATCCACCTGTATATGTAGTGCTGCTCCCACTGCTTTGGCTATCCTTGGTATTTTCCTTGTTCTTGTACATCACATCCTCATTGAATATCACATCCCTTCTTCTGATGATCTTCTTGTTCTTCTCATCCCAAAGGCGATACCCGAACTCATCAATGTCGTATCCAATGAATGTGCACTTCTGTGACTTAGCTTCTAGCTTGTCTCTGACATGGTCACTGATATGAACATAAGCCACACAACCAAATACCCGTAAGTGTGAGAGATTTATCTTCTTTCCACTTCAAATCTCCTCTGGAATCCCAAAATCCAATAGAACTGATGGCCCGTGATTAATAAGGTAAGCTGTCGTATGCACCGTATCCGCCCAAAATATCATAGGCAGACCTGCATGTAATCGCATACTCCTGGCACGCTCTGTCAAGGTCCTGTTCATCCTCTCCGTAATGTCGTTCTGCTGCGGTGTTCTTGGAGTAGTCCTCTCTAAGCGAATACCATTCGTAACCTCCTGATCTCAGACATTTCACCTTTAGATCTGTCTCGTTCTCCATCATGACCTTCCACTTCTTGAAGATTCCAAACACCTCTGACTTGTGCTTCATGAAGTAGATCCACACATTCCTCGAGTGGTCGTCGATGAAGGTGACATAATATCTCGAACCGCCAAAAGAAGACACACTGGTTGGACCCCATACATCTATATGAATCAACTCTAGCTTCTGAGCCTTAGGTGGCCTTCCACCCTTCTGAAAACTAACACTCTTCTACTTCCCAAAGATGTAGTCTTCACAAACTCCGACTTCCACGGAGTCGATCCCGGTTAGCTTTCCCTGTGAATGTAAGATCTTCATCCCCTTCTCGCTCATGTGCCCTAGCCTGTTGTGCCACAGATCTGTACTCTCTTTGCCAGCTGTAATTGCGAGGGTGTCACTCGCATGTAAGGTGAGGTAGAGAGTCCCTAGTTTGTTACCTCGAGCAACTATCATCGTATCGTTGGAGATTCTCCACGAATCCCCTGTGAATGTCAAAATATAGCCTTCTGCTTCAAGCTGTCCCACCGAAACAAGATTCCTCTTCAGCTTCGGCACATGTCTCACGTTCTTCAAGGTCCACTTAGAGCCCTTCATCTGAATCTGCACTTCATCCTTTCCAACAATATTACAAGGCTCGTTATTTCCTAAATACACTTTTTCAAATTTTCCTGCTACATAATTCTGAAATAGCTTCCTGTTAGCAGTGGCGTGAAAAGAGGCTCCTGAATCGATGACCCAAGAATCTGAATCACTGTCCATAGCAAGAATCAAGGCATCCTGCACGATATGAGCCTCCTGCTCACCCGCATCCTTCTTTGGACTTTTACAGACTTAAGACATATGGCCCTCCTGATCGCAGTTCCAACATTTCCCTTTGATAGGCCTAACCTTCGAGTTTGGCCTCTTCTTCACTGATTTCGACCGATTCCTGTTCTGGTTTCCTTTCTTCTGGCTTCTGCCTCTCTGCTCGAAGTTTAGAGCTGAACCTAAACCTTCTGATTCAGACGATTTCCTTCTAACCTCCTCGGATAGAATCATGCTAACAACCTCACTCAGCTTCCACTTCTCCATTGCCGATTGCCGTCAAACAACCTGCCCAACTATCCGACAACTACGATAGAATCAATAGGGCTTGCACTTCGTCATCAAACGTGATGTCCACGGAGATAAGCTGATCAACAATCGTGTTGAACTCGCTGAGGTGCATCGTGAAGGACCGTCCTTCTGTCATCTTGAGGTTGAAAAGAGTTTTAACGAGATGCACCTTGTTTGCTGCCGACGGTTGCTCGTACATCTTTGCGAGCACTTCCATAAGCCCCAACGTCGTCTTCTCCTTCAGAATATTGTGGGCTACTGATTTGGCGAGCGACAAACGGATTTGCCTTAGAACATTCCTATTCAGTATCTCCTAATCACCATCTGACTCCTCATTCTTCTTTCCCTTTTCCTTGCCCATCAACGGGCGATACAAGTCCTTCTAGTACAGATAGTCCTCCGTCTGCGACTTCCAGTAGGCAAAATCTGAACCGTCAAACTTCTCGATCTTTGATTTATTTTCCTCTGCCATGACTTTCACACAAATTACTGAACGAAGCTCTGATACCAGTTGTTGGGGATTTGAAATAATCAAATCAAATCCGTACCCTTCCGGATCTTGTGTTTGAGAGTTGAGCAAGAAAGAAATTCATCACAAATCAAAGATAAGAACATGTAGGAAAGCAAACAAGAAAGAACACATCAGATTTAACGAGGTTCGGCAACGTGCCTACGTCCTCGGGAGCCACACCACACAATTCTTTGATTACTTGAAGAAGATTACAATGCTTGCTATTGGTCTCTCTCTCTCTCTCGAAGATTTCTAACCTCAAAGAGCCCTCAAAATCCTCTTTTTTCGTGCTCTTTTTCTCTCTTAAACCCTAAAGGGATGTGTTTCTATTTATAACAAAACACAATCTCAAACAGATTAGGATTCTAAAACGAGTCTGCCACACCCTGGTGTGGCGTAAACCACACCCATGGCAGACAGAGCAGACTCTGCCACACCCTGGTATGACGCAAACCACACCCATGGCAGACAGGGCAGATTCTGCCACACCCTGGTGTGGTGCAGACCACCTCCATGGCAGACAGAGAAGATTCTGCCACACCCTGGTGTGGCGTAGACCACACCCATGGTCTGTCTTGAATTTTCATACAATTATTGATTTTGATTCTAGGCTTGGGTCTCCACTCTCAAGACCAACAGTTATTGAGTCAAAGGCAGAATATCTAATCTAATAACAACACAAATAGAACAAATTTAACAAAAATAAATGGGTAACCTTTCAGAGAAAGATACTAGAGAGAAAGAGAATCGAGTGGCTAGATTTTTGAAGATTGTGGCCTCGTCGAAGTTCGGTTACCAATGCCTTTGAAGTCTGCTGTCGTCAACATTGTCTCTTGAGGCTGTTAGGGTCCTATGAGGTTGTGGCCAAGACTAAGGGTGAGCAAAGTTTGGCTTAAACCAAATAAAAAAATAGACCGAACTTATTTGCACCAAATAAAATACTTCAAACTAAATCCATGCCTGTTCTTATTGATCGGGAAAAAAATTCACGCCTATTCCTAATCCTTATGCATATGTTATTATGGTAGTTTATCTCATAAATAAATTGAGGCCATCTTTTTTATCAATGATTCAACATGAATTAGGCTTGGTGACTTTAGTTCATAACTTGTGCAACTTTTTGAAGTGGTTAGACATGGAACCAAGTGTAAACCATTACATGAATTAGCAATTGAACGCTATAGCAAAAAGTTCAAGTCTAAGAGTCCTGACAAACACTTTAACCATTGTATTCACTTCGGACTACATTCCCAAAATTAAGCAATATAAATAGAACCTTCCTATTTCAGTTGGTGTTTGAGATCTTTAAGTGAGGGCAAGAATAACACTTCAGGTCATCGATATTTATATCGATTTTAGTCCGAAACAAAATAAACCAAACCGAATTAACCAAAAGTATTTAGGTCAGATTGGTTCACTTCAAATCATAAATAGTTCGCTTTTGGTTTGTCAATTTTTGATAAATACGGAGCTGATTCACCATATGCTCACCCCTAGCCAAGACTCCAAAATTTAAGTGAGAGAGAGAACCTGATGTTATATAGAGGAGATAACCTCAGAAATGGAAAAACTATTAGGAAAAGTCACTAGTATAAGGTTATCATTTGAACTCCACCATTCTGGACTTCAATAGACTAAATAATCTTACATC